CCTTTTGCTGTTTGGGTTGGCTGCAGGGCTGGGTGTATGCCTACGACTTCGAGGCAAATGTATTCGTCTTCGAGCTCTTCCTGGGCGATTTCCCCATCAGTAAATTATCACAGGCCTCTGTTTGTTTCATAGAAAGCAAATGAATGCACACGACTCAGCAGGGCTCCTGCACGCGCCATGTAGACCAATAGAACGCTACAGTGAATCTGGCTGAGACCGTCCTCACAGAAACAGTTTCTTCTCACCTTACCCCCCTTTCGGGACCAAGCATTCGGCCGCTGAATAGAACGTGCACAGCAAATAAGCGGGTGCTGGACTTGATATGGGTATTGATATACGTAATTCAACTTGGTATGGTGTTTGTGTGTATGTGCTGGCCTGCATCTTGCCTATGTGTTCCTCTGCGTGCAGCTGGATTTGTGCTGATGATGATGCTAAATGATCTGTCTTTTAGTTGCATTGTATGCTTACAGGTTCAATCACGTGCGGCAAGGCGATGTACTTGGCCTACAGCACGGGATCGTTTGCTCGTCGAGCTACTGTGGATTTGATTCGAGTTTTGGAAATGTGGGTTAGCGCTTTCCATTAGGGTTTTCATCAACTTCTAGAGACCCTTCGAGTATCAGGTTTCAAGTTTCGTTGCAACATACTGATTAGTTGACAGTTAGGTGACTAGCGCACTATTTGTAAAAAAAGTGGAAACCGGCGGTGTTAGGCATTCAGGATCAGGCCAGAGCTAGAGCTTTTCAATTAGTCTTTATGGTTGAGCATAGACACCCCCAGCCACTCACTCCTTCGTTGTACTCATAACACCACTCGCAAAGCAGAAGTAGGAATAGTTTAATTCCACTTACTCAGTGAATATAAGCAATGTGAAGCTCGCCGCAGGCAACAGGGCCTTGGCCCTCAGTCGGTGGACTTGCGCCAACAGGCCACTCTGCAGCCCCTAGCATTAGATGCTCCTGTGAAGAGTTTACAGCTCGATGGGGAGGCTCAAGAGGTTTGTCCTCCCCTCGTCCTTTCATTTAGATTTAAATTTAGAGAATTAAAAGTGTGAAGGCTAAGATACTTGCAGTTTGAATCTCACGGCTTGAAACACAGAGCTTGATACAGTATACGTATTCCATAAGATAAGCCCAAGAGAACTCAGGCGTACCGCTCTGTCTTCGCAGGGAATCGCCACGACTGCAGCAAATACCATTTGGTGTGTCAGCCGGTACTAGAAGCGAACAGGCGGCTGGATAGAAGAAGCAGAGACAAGAGATTCAACAACCCTATGCTCTAATCCACAACCACTGTCTATAGCCTAAATAATCCTGATGAGGCCTCCTGGTAGTACGGGGGTTAGTTATATAACACACTCATTAATATTCTAGACCCCAATACCTAACGATACAGAATATCTTCGCTGAATTTGCAGGTATCTTCACTGGGACCAACGAACGCAAGTGCGCCTCCACTCGAGCCACAGCTGCCCCATCACTCAGCTAGCTGTTTCTCACCAGGCAAGTCGGCAACACTTGAACAAGAGAGTTTAAACCCTAATACAATAACCCCTTCAAAAAAAGGTGATGCATTACCACTTGTTCCTCTGAAGCCAAATACCTACATGAACGAGCTATGTCATCATAATCTGTAGATGAAGAAGTTTTACTTTGTTAGCTGACTCGAAACCAGCCAACAGACGTACAACTTAGCGTCTGAGGGGCGCTGATGTGTGCATTGGCCGGCAGGCGGCGATGGGGCCGACGGGCAGCGGTGGCTCCAAGAGCGGCCGCTCGCAACACTCATCGAGGGGAACAGAGAATAAAGGAGAAGGTGATTCTCCTATGATAGCTACAGCAGATTCTGGAGGTTCTTTAAGACTGTGGAGTCGGTGGCCTCTGCCGCAGCAACTGGCGGAATTCTCGTTGCCTCATCCTTGCACCGCTCTCGCCTTTCTCTGGCGTACACTGCTCTTGGGCTGCTTCAAAGACGGCTCGCTCCGCCTCTTCGATACAAATGCATTTCGCCTCGTCGGCCGCCTGCAGCTGGCAACCACCCAGGACCCCCCTGTCGCCATTGCTTGCCTTGGTGGTGAGGACGAAAGCAAGCAGTATAGTGTAGTGTGGCTTGGGGTCGAGTTGTGTTTTGAAACTAAGTGGATACGGTTCAGATATTTAAGTAGATATGATCATATTACTACAACACACTATATAATAAAATAATAAATAATACATAATTCAACAATTAACCAAGCAAACAAACAATACACAAAAAAATAGGTCAACAATCAACCAAATAAACAGGCAGTCAGTCAAGCAAACATATATGTTTGAAATAAGCATACCAACGAGAAGGGAACAAATGTGCAAAATTATCATTAAACATATTTTCTTTGTCATATACACCTGTGCAGCAGTGCAGCTGACAACTTGACTTATTCTATAGGCAGCAATATACTCAGAAAGGATTCCTTTCATACATATATGTGTACTCAGAATGATCTCTTGGGTGCTGCTGCGTTGCTGCAGATCGCCATGCATTGCTGGCGACTGCATCAGGGGAGCTTTTGTCTCTCGTCCTTG